AAACGCCGTCCTTGCTTTTCTATATACCGATCACCACTTACACAGGGGGAAGGAGGGGCTATATCAGCAGCCTTTTGTACAGCGGAGATCGAAACAATCTCTAACATGTCGATCCATGGAGCACTTATAGCATGACAGTAATCACGAAGCTGCGTTGTTATTGCCACGCAGGTTACTTTTGCATCACAAAGCACTTAAATCGTTATTGCTTTATGGTTAGAAGCACGGAGATCGATGCTGCGCACACACACATAACCATGAAGCCTAAGATTTAAGCTCAGAAAAGCGTCTGATTTTTCCCTTTGTTTTTGTTTTTGTTTTGTTTTTTTGCATTGTAACCTACAGTAAGTGCTGCTTATTGGATGTGAACAGATTTTACAAGTGTGTGCAAAACAAAAATCAGTCCTTTTTGGAAGAATTGAATCAGGTTGAGGGTGCTACATTGCATTGATGCAAATGTGAGGAATCCACAGGCATATTACAGTAATTACAGTATTCAAAAATCTTCTGGGAACTCAATATGAAAGGCATTTTTTTCAAAACTGCATACCATTTGAGAATTGTTGAAAAACTGTCAACAATGCAATGCTACAGATTTTTTACTGAAGAGTGTCTGAAAATACAAACCATTTCAGGTCAGTCTGACTTCCATGTAGGAGCGATCTTATTCTTTGTAGATATGCCTCCTAACACCTTAACTCGTATCGATAACCAGCCACGGTTCAATAATCAACAGGCAAAGCAAAGCTAAGCTCAACATTGAACCGACTGTGGTTAAGCTCCTGGTCACCACAAGAGCAATTAAATGTGTCTACCCACCAGACTCCAGCAGTGATAAAAGACACCCTGGAAGTCCAGCTAAACCTCTGCTTATATTTTGTGTGCGTTCCGCATTTCTGCAGTCGCTTTGTGTACACGGAGCCTCTTCAGCATCTTCCAGTTATTCCACTGAAAGCTTGCAGAGCAACACGATCCAGAGCTACGCAGCCATGCATCAAGAATCCGTGCAGGCTGACGTAGTCTAGACTGCTGTAAGCGCAGCAGCCTGTGCTCACTGCTCTCATCCCTGCTGTCATCACTGCCGAGACAATAAGAACATCTCTCTATGTAATAGCTCTCACGGTTTGTCCCATCGCTCCCTGTACATCTATGCTATGTACTTCCAGTAAATGGGGAAACCAGTGACACGCTATTTCACACCCCACACACCTTACTAAGAGGGATGTACAGGATTTTGCTGTTTCCTGGTGGTTTCATGCTAGATTTATTTTTTGATTTAAAAGAAAATATCCACTGAATTTTCCGAGAGGCATTTACATCACAAGATTAAACGTCACACGTTGCACATTTCCATTTCGGACAAAATCAACATGTGCCTATAGATAGTAAAATTAGACAGATGTAACACCATTGTAGTTGCATACTGTTCACAGGTGAAAATAAAATGGTAGCTTGGTGATCAAACCTCGACTGATATTGTTTGTTCGAAAGCAAAAAAAACAAACTAACAAACAAACAAAAAAATAAACAGTGGAAAAGGATGGAGGTGCACTAAAAGGTTCAGGAGCAAGTGGACAGCGAAGTGTCCACCTCTTCTGAGTGGTGTTTGGTTTCTTGGGGGGGTGAGGGAAGGATTCAGCAGGTAACCCTGATAAAACCATCGTGCCCACCCCCCCTTCCCCGAGACCAAAGACGCAGGGGATGTGGGTTTAATGTGAGGACGGTAACCCAAGAGGTCTCCACTCACATTACCGAGCAGCTCTTGGCCTTCTCCTTCTTGAAGGTGGTGGAGATCAAATCTGACTTGCTGGGCAGGTGAAGAAGTCTTTTGGAGAGGCGTCGGGTGGGGCTGGGCTTGGGGAGAGGCTGCAGCTTGTTGATGCAGGCCATCGCAGCGGTGCGGAATACGCTGTGAATGCTCTTCTCCGAGGTGAACGCCGAGCACTCGAGATAAGCCTCTGCACCCAGCTGCTTAGCCATAGCAGAGCCCTGCAATAAATGAAGCAATAACC